CATTTCACTCCAAGATATGGCCTGTACAGAAAATATACAATAAAAGAACAGAAATGGCCGCAGTCCAAGGCTGGACGCTAAGACGGAAGGAGTTTTAGTGAGTAAACAGCTTGGCTGGAGCCCCACAGAACCCAGCGCGCCGGAATACTAGCTCTGTAAGAGAGCATTTCCTAAACTTCATCGATAACCAAAAAACGAAGACAAAAACAACCATCAGGTACCAACTGAACGTAAATAGCCGGTAATAATTGGATTCTTATATCAACACTTCTGCATATTTGTTCAACATATTTATTATTTAATGTGAATGAAACTTATTTCAAGTTTTGTTGAAGCACTACACGATCTAACTCATGTAATTTCAATATAAATTACATCTCTAGGTTTTTTAGTTTAATAAATACCTGTTGTAAAGATAAATTCATGTGCTTTATTTTCCCGATTTCCCCTAGTTTTCGCACGAACACAATTTTAGCAGGCGATTTTAATTCACTTTACGAACTCTGTGATTTCCGTTGAAATTTCAATAATATTTCGAGTATCTCATATTGCCCTTTAATTGTGATGTTAATTGAAGCCCTAGCATAAACATCACAACTAAGGAGCATGATGAAATGCTTGAAATGTTATTAAAACTTCAACGGAAATCACTGAGGTCATAAACTGAAATCAAATACCCCGCTAAATTTTGATGTGAACCCAATCGATAAAGAAGATTTCTTCTGCCAGTAGTGGAAATTAGAGTTTAGTTTTGATTGCAGCCGCTGAGATAAGCGACAAATAGCATTCTGCAGGCGTATATGGCGGTTTCCAATCTATAACCTCTGTGATCTGTGGTACCGACATCAACCGGAACATATTTGTTTGCGCGCGAAGTTGCTCGGCTTTGCGGGTTCGTGCACAGCATACGGTCCTAATTAGTCATATTTCTTGAAATTTGCAACGTTCGCGAATGTTTGGCGCGGTATTGCGCTGCGGTCTGGACACACCTTTAGTAAGCAAGAACGCATATATTTCTGAATACATTGTTGTGGGTCACTCTGTATAAGAGATTTAGCTTCCGCAAATCGTCTTAATATTAAAATGTATTCTAACTGCCACGACCCCATTTGCTGCAAATTTAATCATTATTAAGAATTCTCCGGTCAGGCATGTTTCTTTATATTTAAAATTTTTGTTTACTTTGTCACAGGTAATATAAACAAACATCTCTCAAAAGTTTTGGGGAATTAGTCATTTTCAGTACTAAAGCGTAAAGTAAGCAGTATTGTGTCCGCTGTGGGTTGAAATGTTCGGTTTGTAAATCGCTTTGTATTTTTTACGGGGTTACTTTAGTGCTCGTGTACAAAACATATATAGACCCTCGGGAAGGATTATGAAGTAACGTATTAAATAAATTGCCGTAAACAATGAGTGCGATTAACAATTCAAACAAATTCGCTTTTTGAATCTTTTTTATTCGTCTGGAAAACCTATGTGTGCGTGAGAATCACTATAGTTTCGCGAAGTTTGAAGTTTTTCTAGGAGGAACCAGACCGCTTAGACTCAATCCATTTGAGGAATGAAAGGCCAGTTTAAACTAGCTAATTGTTCAATCATCGGAGATCTTTAAGTGTTTCATATTTATCGTACTTTGATGATATAACGATGGCGCTTTCTTGCAAAAAAGAGGATTTATTTTTTGATTGTGCTCGTTTTTATATTTTTCTACTATAAATTTCGTGTGTTTGTTGCCGGATATTGGAATTTTGGAAAATTAAAATATTACTCGTTACGATATAGATGAATCTCGGGTTTATGAGGGTTTTAATTTCAATTTTCTCAATATTTTCAATAGACAGTTAATAGCCAAAAAAGCCACACATTGCCTTCTTCTATACGAATGTAATTAATAATGTAATATAAAAATACAAAACATTTCTTCACTGCTTCAACTTTTTCAAATAAATAAAATAAATTTATTAAAATCAAAATTTAAAACAACATAAATTTTCAAAATTTTAAATGAATTAAAATTCAACTTTAAAATTAAAATAAAAAACTGGCTAAAGCTTCTAAGTCAACATACTTCTAAATTTTCAACTCAAAATACAAAGCAGGTAGGGACTTTATACTTCAAGTTTCCGAAACTTCAATACGATCGGTAAAGGCTGATTTTTTTTTAAATCTGGAAAGTTTCAATTGAGGTGGTGCAAAACTTCCAAGTTGACACACACTATCAAACGCACTTCTGCGCTCATTTACAGAAACACAAAACACTTCACTGTACAAGGGTAGGTTTATTTTTAAAAAATCAACTTTGAACTGAAACTGTTCAAATCTTCTGAATCGGCATGCTTTTAAAAGTTTCTGGCTCAAAATTGTAAGCAGATTAAAGAATGGTGTATGGTCCATTTTCAAAATACATTTCACCCCACATTTTTGAGAAAATCCATTACAATTGAATGCTATAATACATTAATTTTTTATTTTGATTTATTTTCCTGACTGTGTGTAATTGTTATTATATTCTTTTCCTTCCAGAGTTTCAGTCAAAGAGTCAAATAAAAATTTGTATATCTTTCATTTCATAACGTTTCGGCGAGACAACAGCGCCATCATCAGATTTAAAATTCATACAAACTCATAATTGGTAAACATTACTTACATTCTTTTACGTCTTTGCTATCTTGAAACCTTAAATTTGTTTGAATTATTTTCGACATTTGCGAGAATGGTATGTTTATACATGTGTGTGGCTGCAAGTTTTCCATTACAGTTGTAGATTTTTTTTAATTACACCTAGATATTAATCAATAATGTGTTTAACATTTCCGATTAAATTATTAAGTAATTATCTAGTCCGCAAGATGGTTTCAATCGAAAAGGCAAGTATACATTTATATTTCAAATTAAAAAAAACTTTACACAATAATTTTATTTTCAAAAAACCGTAGTTGTAGAAACTTCAAATTTTATTTTCGGTGATATCGAGTGGTGCTGAAACCATGTAAATTACATTTAGCCCCCTAGCTATACAGTGAATAATTCAAAACTTTCGGTTTAAAAACAACTTTATTTTAAATTAATACAATTCTTAAATATGGATTTTTAATTGTGACCGAACCTAACTGGAGACTGAGCTGAATTCTCGTTTCTGCGGTGGCTTCTTTTATATGCTAATCATGCTGGTCATAGCAGAACCGATATTGCGTCTTATTTTAATTGTATAATCGGAGTAAGTGGCCATACAATTCTACATAGACTTAATACAAAAAATGTTAATGATTCAGACGAGTAAAACGATAAAGGGACTATCAAGCACACGGTTACATCATCATGTTTGTACTGTACAAATCGCCAGATTTTTGACGAAAAACTCGCAAATGTTCGATGTAGTACATGCGAGGAACGCAATAATTGCCAGTTTATTTGCGTGTCTTGCTAGTTGTGATCATATTTAATCCGGAAAAGATCGGATATCGAAATATTGTCATTTTGGTGCTGAAAAGGAAGAGTGGTGGTGAAAAGTAAGGGAATCACAGCCGATACGGAAATGGTTCAGCATGGCGCCCCAGCATGCAGAAACGTGGTAAGGTAGATCTAAAAATTCTAAGGTAGATAGATAGGTAAGGTAGATCTAAAAATCTAAAAATTAAGGTATTTTTCAAAACACTTAGTTTGAACTGACGGATGTTTTTTGAGGGCGAACATATATTTTACGGCTTTTTTACATTTCAATTTCTATGGAGCTTTGAATGATTTCCTGTACACTAAACACCTTTTTTTTTATTTCCAAGTGACACGATGCAGCTTTCGGTAAGTTTGGCTTTACATTTTCGCTGAAAGATCGTTTTCAGATATTGTTGACTTGTACTTTATTATATTAGTGCATGCAATATTTATGCGACGAGAAACGACGGGAAATTATCTGGATCCTGTATTGCGTTATTTCAATTTCTTGTTTTAATACGAACGTAACAGCAATGTTATGTAAAACAAGTGTCGGTTTCCGTCTGAATTACACTTTCTATTGTCCTGGAAGGTAATTTGTTGCATTTGTTGGTGTTTTCTTCTGTTTTAGGAAACAACATTTTTTTATTCAGTTTCACTATCTTCACAATAAAATTCCATACTACATTTTCTTCTAAATATTGATACCGGTTTTTTTGTTGCGTAATATTTATTTTTGTTTAGCGAATTTTGTTGTATTTTAACTTGAAATCTTCAGTGCTTTATATAGAACACCGGTAAATTTGGTTCCTCTTCCATCAACAGCTTATCCATAATAAGTATCTGAACTTTGACTTCATTGACTGCTTTTTTCCAATGTGAAAAACAAGTTTTTTTTAAATGGCGCTAACGAAGTTTTTGATCCAGCTGGAAAATGTTGCTACGATTAAACGATAATAAAACAGAAAAGTTAGTGGGCGCCATTAAAAAATCCTTATTTTTTGACACTTTTTGTAACACTCATATGTTACCTTCGTGTCATTTGTCAAAAACTGTTAGAGATAAGTTAACAAAACTAGGATGACTCAAACTGGCAATGGACGGCCAATCCAACCACGCTAAGAAATTAGGGGTTTGCATTTAAAATAAGAAGGTTAGGTGATAGGTACACCCTGTATAGCTAGAGCGCTAAATGTATATTACATGGTGTTGGACCGACTCGTTCTGAGCGGAAACAAAGTTTGAAGTTTCTGAAACAACTGCAAGTTGGAAAACTTCAAATGCACGGTCTACGTAAATTACCCTGAACATCAAAGCTTGCCAGAGTTAAGTCTGAAAATTATATTTAACTGAAAAAATGAACGTCAACACTTATTAATGCATATCGCTAAATACCTTAGACGAATTCAAAAAATGTATTAATTACCGTCTGTTCCAAAATTTAAACACGCCATGTTCTTGCACCAAATTTTTTTATAATTCTTACATAAACTCTTTCACGCCCCTTATATATGAAAATAAGAATATTTAATTTAGAATGATCATGGACAAATAAAAACGATATGAGATGTATTAATAAAGCATATATTTATGACCTAAAGCAGGTACAAGATTTAAACATATAGTCGTACTGTTACACTGCACTTGCTAACACGTTCTCGATAAAATATTCACAAAATATTATTATACGTGATCCTTAACAAATATCTCCAAATGCAAAGTGGTTGACCCATATATATCATAATCAATATTATAGTACAATCTTACAACTTAAATACTCGCGACTGAATGGCTTACATTTTATTACCTACAAATTAATGATAGTCTATATACAATAAAATAAACCTCAATAATGCTATCTAACGAACATCACATTCATACTACCTAATTCTAAACTAGAATAATTTAGCAAATACTGAAATATTGCAAAGGAGATTCCGAAATGTTTCCATACATTTGAACATGCTTAATTTTATAAATGCTTCTAATATTATTATTAAGTTTTCTAGCATCTATGTAATTTTATATCTAGGTGCGCTCTACTTCAATACTTTTCAGCAAATACCTACGAGTAATTGTTATTTCAATGGCAAATTTACATAATCAACCTTAAAGTTGCACTGCAATTAACATTTGTTGTAAGATTTTGAAAAACTCATACGGCTCATGAAAAACATGGAAATAACTTTAATCTTCAGATTTACTAAAAACAAAAAATGTTCTTCATTCTTCCATTTCTTTGGTTGGTGCTTCAAGGTATTAAGTGATACTATCAACATCACAATACAGGTATTTGCTGAATTCGGTCAAAAAACGATAAGTAGTTCAATTTAAACCGTCTCCTTGATGATTGATAACTATTTTTGATGAGAAGAAAAACAAAAATTACGCTCTTATCCACAGCGAAATAACACACTTAACTATAACTGATGCTATTTTGACCGAATAAGTGTTTACATTTTAATTAATAATTTGAGTTCCTCTAATATACGCTACAAAATCAGAGACTAGATTTTCATTAAATTTACTCGCACTTTGATAACCTTCGCAAGAATCCCTTAAGTACCTTTTAACGACTTAATCCTCTTAACACCCTACCACAACTTGATGGCACCAAAATTTGATATGTCTTACTTGAAAATTAAGTAAAAACAACATCAAAATGAAAAGGGGGAAAACATCAAAACGTAAAATAATTTCATACGGTTTCTTTTTGTTTAATCAACAAATACAAATAAATAAAAGTATAAATATTATACAATACGTCAGGGCTTTTGGTGTCTTCCCCATGTTTCTATCAGCCTTCTTCTCTAATGAGTATTTGGGAGATGTGGTTTATTCGAAAAATTCTACCTCTTCAAACATATTTTTCTGATAAGCCACAACTCACAGAGGAGTATCTAGCCAGTAGAAACTCATTAAAAACTATGGAATAATTTACAATGTGTCAAATAAATAAATCGTCTAGCATGGCAGCCCACCATGATAAATATCGTCCAATTCCAATTCACATTCAATTTGAATTCGCAGCTCAGAAATCGCAATTCGTTCAATTCAGCTGCCACACTGAAACCATGTTTTAAACTCTAAGAAATATACAAAACACTGATGTGGAATAAAAAATCTTTCCAACAGAACTTGCAATGTGCTTGGAAAGAGTTCATTTCCACAGTCAGTTGAGCCCAAAGTAAAATTATAGTAAAAATAAGTTACGACAGCTCTTCAGACACCTTACAACTGTCTCAGTCTTCTTTGGTAAATAGGTAACCTGGGCCGAAACCCGGAGTTTCCATGCGAAGAATATCTTCCACCGAACTAAATTTTTTCTCGAAAATCAATTAACTCGTCAATGCGTGTTTCTTCTTATGTCGCAACTTTCTGCAATCCTTCGACGAACAGCAGAAGTCTGAAAGGTTGACCTTTTCTTTCTTCCGCTTTATGTCTTGAATTTTCTTGCAAGTGGGCAAATCGCAATGCTGCCTGCTACATTTTGGCGTACCATTCTGAAATAGAAATTAAGTATTAATTAGTAAAAACTTGCGCATATTTTGTTATGCTTATTATTTAACCCAATGAATTAAAATTGTAGAATATGTCGCCGAAAGCTGCAAAATTAGCTTGACTTGATGAAAATTTTCCTAGACTATATACACACGGTTGATCAAAATTGGCGCCACTCCACTCTTATAGAAACGCTCTGTGAATTCCCGTTAATTAGGTATTTCCAATAGTGCCTTTTTGGTACTTGATTAGAAGAATGTCGCATATTAACGTTATATAAATACCCGCTACGTCATACGTAAATAAAAACGGGTAAGAAGTGCAACCTCAAGGTATTTGTATGGAGACCAGGCCACGATACTCACATCACAGTGAGGGAATCGCATTTACCATCAATATTTCAAGCAGTATAACAGTAAGACTAACTACCTAAACCAAGCTTTTGTTTCCATGTTATGAACTGATTTAAATGAGTCTAACGAACCCAAATTAACCCCTCAAAGGCCATTAGGCCGGTTTCGAATCATCCTGTATGTATCGTTAATAATTTCAAGCGCAATATAACATGGTGCAATGCCGTAATTCTGTTGAGTAGTACCTACATGAAAATTGTTTTAAACCTTTAAAAATGTATTACGTTTTCAAGGGGTTTTATCCTAATGTTTCACCAGATTTCATCTTCAAAGGTTGTTCCCATTAATACGGATTTTCAAGTATTGAGTCTGGAAGCCGTCCTCCATGCCCCTAGTGAAGGACACTTTCATTTTAGAAACCAATTTCCGACGAATTCAGTATTATTTATCATATTTTTATTAGCCTGGACTAATCAATGATTAATGCGTTTATGGTTCATGATTGGCGAAATCTGATGTGGCGATAATTAAATATGATTGGATGTTTTCACACATTGACTATATAAATCGGGTTTTGTAAAATGTTTATTTGGTACTTGTTCCTCCTGATTTTAAGACTTTTTTCAGTTTAATAACCTCTAAAGCAAGAGATAAATACAAAAATTGTGGAATTTGACATTTATTTCAACTTTTATTATTATGTTTTAGATGGTCAACATGCATCTTTTTATATAGCTTTTTATATAGGAGAAATAATTGTTTCCAAGAATTCAAGTTTTAACGCTTCTTGGATTTATATTGATCTTTTCAATATTTAATAGTAGCAAATTTACCATAACTAATTATAACGAACGCTATAGTAGAGTAGGAATATGTAAATAATTTTGAAATTATTATCAAAACATCCAGTTACATTTATAGTCTTAG